GAACGTCTTACACAGCCAGGCTAAAATAGAGGGGGGGGGGCCAGCTGGCTAATGGGGGCTGACTGAGGGGTTAGGAGGGATGGCGATATCTTGTCAGGCCTCTATCAGTCTTAAGGCGGGTCTGCTGGGTGGAGGGGCTGAATGAGGGCTGACTGAATGCGGTCAAATATTTGAGTTGGCTGGCCTGTCTACAGGCACGTCTTAAAATGTTGGGTGCATAACTCACTAGCCTCTGGCCCCCATCTTGGTATCTCACAGGCAGGCAACAGCTAGATTCATGCTCTATCAACCAAGCATGTACGGACGGACAGACACAGATTCAGATATAGATAGGTCTGGCAGGTGAATGCGCCTGATCATTGTGTCTGCTACTGGAATCGATATCCCAATATCGTCCGAAATAGAGCTCCAGTAGGGCTTGTCAGCGTGTATTGGGCAAGTAGGTGGCGCTGTTCTATCTCTGGTGCCATTGCTTTCATCCGGCATATATTCTCATAGACTGCTGCCTCTCAGACAGAGGTGAAGTGATATTGGTGAATTTGATGATTTAATGAAAACAAGAAAAGTTATTTTAGGGCCACGATTAATTTGCCAATGGCTACCACGATTTTACAAAAAATGTCAAAACTCAATTGGGATTTTCAATTCGATTTTAACTTATAGCACCCATCAATTCGACTTGGGAACTTCAGTGGAACTTCTTACCTCTAATTCTTAATTTTATTACGATTCATGTCCGGCTCTCGGCGACACACTTAGCGTTCTACTTGTTGAGTTCGAACTACTTTGGCTTTTATGTGAGCTGTATTCACTCTATTTCTTTTAAAGTGACTACTGGCTGAATTTTGCCACAATGATATGAGTAGGCCTGGCGTTTCTATTGGATATTGTATAGCCTTGCTTTCCCAAAAGACTTCGCTTAGGTCTTATCAACACCCCCAGCAGAAATCGAACCATCACAGGGCTGCGCATAATCTAGGCATGTTAACCACGACGATACACTGCCACGAGTGCCCCTGTGTTAACGTAGACATTAGTTGGCCATCATTTTACAATTTACTACTCGAAAATAAGGCTGCAGTTAAGCCTACTTCTTGCTCTAAATTTGACTGAATGTTTTTTCACTAAATACACACTCCAGACTCGTCTTCTATTCCCTTAGGATCCCATCTTTTTATAGCGAGCGCCTTTGTCATTGTTAATAAGACCAAATGTTTGGTTCACCTCAAAGCTCGTGTTTCATTTTATCAAAGCTCTTCGATAATTTAAATAGCATTGGGCTGTTCTATCTTATTTCAGCCGTGAAGGCGCTCCGTGAATTGCTTCTATCATGCGGCTTTCGGGAGCTGCGTGAAGATGAGCCCTGGCGACTGGCTCCAGGTGATCGAGCTTTCCTGACCAAAAATTTCTCGACTCTTTATGCTATCGGCGTAGGCGGTGCTCATCGGCCGGGCAATGGATTTACTCTGTTTGCCGCACATACAGACAGCCCTAGTCTACGTGTGAAGCCACGCTCGGATCGTCAGAAGGAGGGCTATCAGCAGCTGGGCGTCGAGACGTACGGAGGTGGCCTCTGGTACACTTGGCTTGACCGAGACCTCACGCTGGCCGGCCGCGTCATTGTAGGCCCACGACCCGCCGCCCCAGCCTCAGCTACTTGCCCCAGTACCGTGTCAGAGGCCACGACATCGACGGCTTCGGCTTGTTCGGGCCAATTGCGTCACTGCTTAGTTAACTTGGTTCGCCCAATAGCCTGTGTACCTAGCTTGGCTATTCACCTAAACCGAGAGATCAATTCCAAAGGCTTCTTGCCTAATCCTGAACAACATTTGGCTCCGATCATTTGTACAAGTTTCATGGATCAGGTGAATGAGCGTTTTAAAGCAGAAAACAGTTTTTATATCTGAATCTGATCACTCTTTACAAAAACTAAAAGAACTGAATTCTGCCACTATATACGAGAACTAGTCACCCATAGTAACTTAAATGGTCTGTTAGATGAATCTCCCACTTTGAAACCAGTATAAACTGAAGTTAAATTACATTCTAGCCCTGACGAAAATTCCTTCTACAAGGCTGGGCTGAGTGAAATTC